GTACGGGAAGTCTGTACTATTTTTGCAATTTTTCTGAAAGTCTAAAATTATCTCCAATTAGAATGTTAAAAATAAAAAAGAATGGCATGTCACTTGGCAAGCCTTAGTCAGGGCTAAGTAAATGTGCATTCCCTTGCTACCGTGGGTCACCCTGGGAACACTGGGGACCCCCACACACTGAGGGACAGGACAGTAGTTTCTGAGGAGGGAAAGTGTAATGGGTCCAGGCTGCATCAGAGGAGGGAGACGGCCTGGTGTCTGTTCCACAGAGACGCTCCTCCGTGTCCCAGCTGTTGGAGGCGGAAACAGCAGGACCCTTGTAACGCAGTCTCGCAGTCACTCCCTGTCTCTCCACCTGTTGCAGTGGTTAGCTAGTAGTGAAACACTTCACAGCCAGTCTTAGCTCCAGCTCCACTGTCGTTACTTATTATCTTATGGGGACCTTGGGAAAGTTACTCATCTGTAATATGGATAACGTACTGACATCTGGGCTCAATGAGTGGGCTGAATGAGAGGGACCAGAGGAGCAGCCAGTGTGGGCCATTGTTTCCCCTTCCCTTGAAGCCTTACTGATGAATGGTGCCAATGGAAGTGCCCACTGCCCTCCAGGTTCCCCACAGCACTTACTTGGTATCCTTCCAAGGGCCCTTTCTGGGGATGGCCTTCCAGTCCCATGATTTGTGTGTCTTGTGTGTCCATGACCTAGAGCTCCTGTAGACCCAGGGCTCTGCACATAGAAAAATGTGCAAATGTGAGTGAGTGGGTGAGTGAATGAATGAGTGTGTGAATGAGTGCATGAATAGAGTTAGAATGGACTGAGTGGATGAGTAAATGAATGAGTGAGTGAATGAATGAATGAGTAAATGGTTGCCCCTCCTGTTTCTGTAAGAGGGCTATGTACCACATAAGATTATTGGCTCAGATAGCTGAGATAGCTGCCCCATGTCAAGCTGTTCTCCAGGATGACTTTGGAAGTCAGACCAGATACCCTTTCATGACGATTTTTCTCCTCGTATCTTGGGTGCTAGGCACCTGTCCAGAAGAAACAGCTCCTTTTCTCCAACATTAAAGTTCTTTGTCAGTGCTTCACAATGTTCCAGGCTTCTCTCCTTGTTGTTGAGAATTTTTTATCGCAGGAAATCAGGCTCATTTTAAGGGCCAAATAGTCACTAAATATAGCCTGCCAGCACAGATATTTAAAGAGCTGTGTTGATGATGTTATGTCTGAACAGGGACGAAGGGGAAGAAAATAACTTATTTTTTCTGGAAAGAAGAGTGAAGTTCCATTCAGATTTTCTTTTGTCCGCGGGGAGCAGAGCCATGGTATGGTATCATTGTCTTCCTTATGGAATCACCCACCAAATGTTTGTTACCAGCTTGGGCTTGGGTTTAGATTTCTGTTGCCAGGCAGACATTTCTTGGTAATTCCTTGTTGTCTCTATTTAAAAATGCCTCCTAACCTGGAGAGTGACCTTGAAAGAATGTGCCCTTCCCACTGAGCCTAGGAGAGCTGTGCTCAGGGAGGTATCAGTAAGAGCTGCTCTTCCCCAGCCCCAGAACCAGCACAGGCTGAGTTGGGGAGCCCACCCGCATCATTCTCTCCCGGTGCTGGTTGACAAGCAGCAGGTGACACAGGTGGAAAGGAGTGGGATAGGGCCCTGGGATCTTCACTGGTGGAAAGGGAGAGTGGGTGCAGAGGCGAGGAAACAGTTCATGCCTCAGAGAGAGGTCTGGATTGAAATTCCACTCACATTGGTCACAGTGGCAGGATTTGAGGGGGTAGGGCTTTCATGGGGGGCTGATGGCTGCTCACCTCCTTTCTCCTCTGGCTTCCACTTAGGGCTCATTGGGTGGCCAGGATAATGTCAAGAGAGTGTAAAATTTTGGGGATGATGTTTTTGTGTCTTACGTGTTCCTTCTAAAATATAAGTAGGACTATTCTAGGATTTCTGAACTTTCTTTGGGGCCAAACTTACATCTCTTGGGGAGAGAAACTTAGTAGCTCTTTCTGTAAGAAGCTCTGTGCTTCTTAGTCTTTGTATTGTTAAGATGTCCACATTTCACCATCTTCTTTTCTGTTCTAACCAAGTTTTTATTGGGACTTGTTTGGTGATCAGCACACAAACATCATGAATTAATGCTAGTATTAAAAACCTACACAATGTAGCTAAATTGTTACTCACTGCTGTTCCAGCGTAAAATTTGGAGACAATTTCCCCACAAGTGGAAGACAACAGAATTCAGAATTTTCAAATATTGCTAACCTTTAAGCCTTTTATGAGGAATATCCTGATAACACAGGATGTGATATCTTAACACATTATATCCACAGTACATTAACTGGTCTGGGGAAATTCCGGACCTTCCCTTGCGGGATATTGCCACAGATAATGGACAATTCTAATAAGGGGACAAAGACCATGTAGAAAACAAAGAGACAATAATGGTAGGAAAAAAACACAAATATAAAAGGTGGGTCATTTAAAATGACTCTGTCATTTGGGCTATGTGTATTTTAGGGGATTTTTTTATTATGCCTTTCGTAATCTATGGAATGTTACATTTACATCACACAAAACCTCCCTTAGTTGAACATTCCACTAATTTCTGGTTTTACTGAAATTAACCAGTACATGATTTTACTTCTTAAAAAGGCATTTGTACTTATTTAAATATGTATTAAAACATGAGATAAGGTGGAATTCCATGCTTCTTAAAAAATATGTTTCTGTCAATACAGAAAATTTGCATTTCTAAAATAGTGATGAAGCTGCTTTTTAGAATTGTAGGAGAAAATATGTAAGAACCATCGTGAAGACTGGTCTAAGACTGCTTTCTTTTTTCCACTGTACTGGGGCCTGGAATATCCTCATTTTTAGATTCTGGCTCTGTTTAGCCCCTACTTGATGATTCTCCTCTGCCCTTTTTTTTTTTTTTTTTTTGGTTCCATTCCCCTTTTGTTGAGACTTTTTTTGTCTGATGAAATTTCCTTTCCTATTGCCTTTTTTTTTTTGCCTAAGATTTCATTTTGTTTCAAGGCTAGATTAGATGACTATTTGCTGATCTTTTGGGGGTTTCTCATTAGTGTCCATTCAGCAGAATTGACTTTCCTTATTGTCATCTTGGTTGAAAGCAGTGACTGGACACAGCTGGGGCAGCGGGCAGAGCCTGTGGGTACCATAGTGAACCTTCCCAAAGCTGGCAACCTGGACACTCCCCTTTCTACTACCTGAGCTGCTGAGATGCAAGATAGAGGTGGAATAGCAGATGGAACGGGATTAGGATCCTGCTGCCTTCTCACAACATTGTTCTTTTTCTTCAACACTTGTGGATAATCTGCCTTTACTTTCTAATAGCTTCCAAGATTGTTTTCTTTTAATGTGGTACATTATGTGCACCAGGTGTGTTAGTTTATTGTTTTGGGGACTTATTTTAGTTTATACTCTAATTCTGGAAAATTCTCAGCCGTCATCTCTCTGTGTTTTTTATTTCCTACTCTCCCTTTTGCAAATCGTATTAAGTGTATCATGGAACTTCTCATTCTGCTGTCCATTTTATTCAATTTTCATTCATATTTCCTTTCTATTTTTCTTTATTCTAGGTGATTTCCTCAGATTCATCGTCCTATTCACTAATTCTCTCTTTAGTTGTACCTAAATCTACTCTGATTTCTAGACTTTCTATTCATTTTATTTTATTTTTTTAAATTCACTCGTTCATTTTCTACATCTTATTTTTGCTGTGTGGTTTCTATTTCTTCATCCTGTTGAATATTTTAGACATTCTTATTTTAGAGTCCCTTTCAGGGGACTATTATTTATACTAGAGCATGTCTGGAGTATTTCATTCTTTTTGTTGAATCTGCTGTTTGCGTAGCATTTGATTTTTCCCTGTAACTTTTGTCATTTTTGCCTGTCAGATCATCTCTGATGGAGATTATATTCTATGGGGTGGGTTCTGCATGTGCCTATATTATGTCCCTTGGGACATCTTTTTTTTTTAGTTTCAGGTGTACAAAACGGGACTTTTTTTTTTTTAAAGATTTTTATTGGGGAGTTGGGGGGATGGGAACAGTGCTAGGGAATTGGCGGAAGGGGAACAGACAAGTTGCTGTAATTTTTTGTTCTTCAGTCTAGTTGTGGAGGATGTTGCTTCACTGGCCCAAGTTGGCACCATCATTGCGCTCTTCCTGGGCGAGGCAAATCAGTCGCCGTCCTCTGGACGGCAGCTCACTGCGGCTGCTGGCCGCTCACACTGGCTGCTGGCTACATATGGTGGCCCATGGCAACCCACTGCCAACTGCCACAGGGGCTATGCTGTCGCCGGCGACTCCCAGCAGCCCAGCTCCAGGTTGAGCTGTTGTTCAGCATCTTAGCTGTGGAGGGCAGTGTCACTGGCCCTCATATGTGGGATCCGAACCGGGGCCCTCTGAGGTCCCAAGCCAGTTCTTAACCATTGCGCCACTTGGCCCAAAACGGGACATTTTTTAATGATTGTCTTTGCTAGGCCCTACAGAGCTCACTGGTTCTAGGCCAAGTTTTACTTGGTTTTTCAGGACAGGGGTTCCACATTGCATGAGTAGTGGGGGACCTTGGCACAACCACACAGCCAAGGCCCGAGACTCTGGTTTCTCTCTTGTTTCTCCATCAAAGGTCTGGTGCTGTGCCTTTGGCCAGGAGCTCAGTTCCAGATCCCTGATGCTCACACAGTGGCCTCAACTTTGGTCCCTTATAGCATACACATGGTTTGTGTATACTGTAGCATTTGTCTTTGAATCTCATTTGCTGCAGTAGCTTTTCTGGTACCTGGAGATACCTTCAAGTTCATCTACATGTTGATGACATTAAAAAAAATTTTTTTTTCTGGCATGTCTACATATTGTATGGGAGAGGTCTTATGCGTGACAACTTAGCCTGCTTTCTTTACTAGGGACCTAGTCCCCTCCTATTTACCTTCTAAAAAGCAGCCAGAGAGATCTTACAAAGAAAGAAAAACATAAATCAGAATATTTTGTTGCCCTGCTTAAAACATTCCAGTGGGCTTCCTAATTGCTTAGAATAAAACCACCTTTATTAAATGAACTATAAGATCTTCTGTGAGCTGCCCCTGACGCCCTTGCCAGCCTCGTCTTGCTCACTATGCTTCGGACACCTTAAAGAGGCTTATTCTGACTCACCAAAAAAACTACACCCCCACTCTCCATCTCATCAGCTCCTCGTATTTTCTTCATAACACTCATCACTGGGTAGGATCATCTTGTCTGTGTTCAGGTTTCATCATCTGTGTCCCTCCCACCAGCAGTGGGGACTCCACAAGCACCAGAAGAATCTGTCCCATTTACCGTTGCTTCCTTAGCCTCCACCACAGTGCCAGGGAACAGCAGTGAGTGCCAGGCTTCTCCGCTGTGGGTTAGATCATTCAAACCCCTGGCACCTCTCTTCAGAATTCCTACCCAGAATCTCCCAGGAAAGAGCACCGAAGACAGAGGCAAAGACCCGTGTCCCGGTTCTGCCTGAAAGGCACCACCCCCTGTGTGATCTTGGGCAAGTTACTTAACTTCTCCTAGTCTCCACTTCCTCATTTCTAAAGTGACAGCCGTATGTGATAGATTTTTTTTTTGTAAGAATAAAATATGAGTGTTCTCATAGCCTTGGGGGAGGCGACAGCAGTTGTTCTCTTTCAGGAGTAAAAGCATTTGCCTCTCAGGGAGGGGAGTGACTACAGGGCCACTCCCGTGGGACTTTTCTCACCCCTTGTCCATGCCCCTTCTTGTTGGTTTTCTTCATGTTGTTTTTTTGTCTCTGCTGTGACTATATTTTGAGTGACTGTATGGATGGTAAGCTCCATGTTAGTCCATCAACAAGTATATTTTTGAGAGCTCGCTGTAAGTGACGGCTGTAAAAACCAGTTCCTGCCCTCATTCAGGGACGCTCTGCCTGGTCCCTGGAGGGCAGGGGTCCTGTCGTCCTCTTTGGCTGCTCTACAAAGTTCTGTCAGGGTTCTGGATAAGTGGGTTAGTTGGTGTGCCTGCCACGGAAAAGACCTGCCCTGAGAGCATTCATCATTCAGCAGATGAGATTTCCCAAGGGCCTGTAATGTCGGGCGCCAGGAGTTCGGGATGAGTCACACTTGATTGCTGAGTTCACATCGCACCTAGACTCGAGGAAGAACAGGTGGGCTGAACGGGCACTTCAACCCACTAACCACGGAAGCAGAGCAGGACAGAGTGGGTGGGAAGAGCCCATGAAGGCAGGATTAATGGTCTTAGTTGCTTATTAAAGAACACAGGGCCACACTGTGGCTTGCAGTGATTCTAAACCTGACAGCTGTGGAGAGGAGGGGAGGGGAGGGGAGGGGAGGAGAGGAGAGGAGAGGAGAGGAGAAAGGAAGAGGAAGAGTAGAAAAGAAGCTCAGTACACACTGAAGGAGCCAGGACGGCTGTGGGGATGGGGTGCAGATGGGCCTGGAGGAAGGCTTCGGAGAACCGAGGGGTGTAGCTGAGGGGAAGAGGGGCCAAGTGTGAGTGAGCAGGGCATACTGCAAGCAGAGGCCGCAGACTGGCGTCCTGAGGCCTGGATTATTTTGTGGGCTTGTTTTGTTTGGCTCACGCAGTGTTTTTTAAAAATTGGAACTTAATGTCTTTAGATGGAGAACACGCTCTTTCCTTCACCACAGTCCTCTCCATTCCCCATTTTCATTCCTGACCTGCCTAAACCACAATGATAGAACCTGCTCTATTCACTGAAAACCCAGGAGAATCAATGGAAGAGTCTTGAATTCATAAGCTAGGTCACTTTAAGGAATAAAAGTGCTGGGAGCGAGATATATAAAAGTCAATAATATATTTTCCTATATATCAGCAACCAGCTTGAAAGTAATAGAAAACAGATCCTATTCACCAAAAGCAGTAAGACTATAATCTATATTTACACAAATCTATGAAATCTCCATTCACTCAAAACATATTTACTGAGTGCCTGCTTTGTGTTTTAGTTTTGTTTTCTCTTCAGGACCCATCAACGCCAAGTCAAGTCGTTGTCCTTCATTCTAGTTGCGGGGGTCCAGCCCACCATTCCATGAGGGAATCGAACTGGCAACCTTGTTGTTCAGAGCACGCGCTCTAACCAGCTGAGCCACCTGGCCTCCCCTGTATTTTTTAGTTTTAATTAAAAATTTTAAAATTAACTTAATTTTTTTTTAAGATTTTTATTGGGGAATTGGGGGAGGGGAACACCGTTGGGGAATCGGGGAAGGGGAACAGACAAGTTGCTGTCCTTTTGTTCTTCAGCCTAGTTGTGCAGGACGTCGCTTCACTGGCCAATGTTGGTATTATCATTGCACTCTTCCCGGGTGAGGCAGTCGCTCGCTGGCTGTTGGACAGCTGCTCATGGCAGCTCACGGTAGCTCATGAAAGCTCTCACCCATTGCCGACCAGCCCCACTGCAGCCTATGCTGTTGCTGGTGACTCACGGCAGCCCAGCTCCAGGTCGAGCTGTTGTTCACTATCTTAGCTGTAGAGGGCACAGTGTATCTGGCCCTCATGTGGGATCTGAACTGGGGTCCTGCTGCTCAGAGCTGGCGTCCTAAGCCAACTCCTAACCAATGCGCCACTCGGCCGGCCCAAAACTCACCTAATTTTTGAATAGGCAATACATTTACTTGGTTTAAAAAAAAAAAAAGTGAAAGGCTCCCTTTTACTCCTGTCCCCTCTACAGCCTAGTTCCTACTCAACTCCAAGAGAAAGAACCACCCATTGACTAATTTCTTGTTGTGCCCTCCAAATATTTTATTTTTATATACAAGTAAATATGAATATTGGCATATTACCCTCTTCTTTACTTGTTATACGATAGTTCAGAATCTTGCTTTTTTACTTCACAGATATCTTGATAATGTTTTTTATGTCAGCATATAAAAGGCTTCCTCATTCCTTTTTACAGCTGACTAGTAAAAATGTTGATTTTAGATAAAACCGTGGGCGCCAGAGTAAAATTGCCTGAGTTTGAAACCTGGTTCTTCTGCTCTGACTTTGCACTAATTATTTCTCTGTGCCTCAGTTTTTTTCATGTGCAAGTGGAAATAATAGATACTGACTCATATGTTACAAGAATTGAGTGAGACGATGCTTATAAAAGGGCTTCGAACAATGCCTGGCACCTAGTGAGCCCCCTAAATATTAACTGCTTTCTTATTCTTATTAGAAGGATGAATATTATAAATGCAAAGTAGGGTAAAAGGATGAGTGTCTGGGGGGATATTTTAGCTAGAGGGGTCCTGATGAAAATTATAAAACTTTACTGAGATGTATAAAGCAGATGAAATAATAGAGAGATGTACTTTTTTTAAATTTATTTTTTAAATTATTTTTATTTGGGAACAGCCATGATCATTGGTTACACATTACTTTCATGCTACAATGGCATAGTTGACTCTTTTAGGGAGGGTGCAGCTCACAGTGGCCCATGCGGGGATTGAACTGGCAACCTTGGTGTTATCAGCACCACGCTTTAACCAACTGAGCTAACTGGTCACCCCCTGGAGAGATGTACTTTGTTTCCAGTGGGAACTATGGAATTTGTAGAGATTGTCAGCTCTTCCCAGTGTAATTTATACTTATTCCATTTAACCCAAAACCTCAATAAGATTTGTTTTGGAACTTAAGTTTTTCTAAAATTTACCTGGAAGAATACATGAGTGAGAATAACTTAAAAACTGTGAAAAACATTGCAGCGAGGAGAAACTTACCCTACTAAATACTGAAATACATTTTAATGATTAAAACAGTGACTGAATTAATGGCTTAAGAATTAACAAATCAGGGACTGGCCGAGTGGCGCGTTGGTTAGGAATTGGCTTTGGACGTCAGCTCTGAGCAGCAGGACCCCGGTTCGGATCCCACATATGAGGGCCAGTGACGCTGCGCCCTCTACAGCTAAGATGGTGAGCAACAACTCGACCTGGAGCTGGGCTGCCGTGAGCTGCCGTAAGCGGCCATCCAATGGCCAGCGAGCGACTGCCTCATCCAGGAAGAGCGCAATGATAATACCAACATGGGCCAGTGAAGCGACATCCACCAAAACTAGACTGAAGAACAAAAGGACAGCAACTTGTCTGTTCCTCTTCCCCGATTCCCCAACGGTGTTCCCCTCCCCCAATTCCCTAATAAAAATCTTTTTAAAAAAATAAAAATAAATAAACAGATCAGTAGAAGAGAATAAATAGCCCAGAAACATATCTTTACACACATGTAAGTTAATTATATGATAGAGGTGACCTCACAAGTCAATATGGTTGGGAAGATTATTTGATAAATTAAGTGAGGGTCATTTGGTTAACTGTTTGTGAGAAGAGGATGTCTTAGAGTCTTACCTCAGGCTACATGCCTAGATAAATTCCAGATAGATTAAGAAGTTAATTTTGGGGGGAGGGGGAATTAAGCCATTAAAAAAAACAGCCCTTCAAGAAGATAGAAGGAAGCATTTTGGGGTAGGGGAGGACCTCTGAGTTTTAAAGCAGTCAAAAATATCACAGTGAGAAAAACGCTGACCTATGTGATCACCAAGAAAGCTAAGGGCTCTGTATTAGTTTCCTGGGGCTGCTGTAATAAAGTACCAGAAATTGAGTGGCTTAAAACCACATAAATTTATTCTCTTGCTGTTTTGGAGACTAGAAGTCCAAAATCAATCTGTTGGCAGGGCCATGCTCCCTCTGAAGCCTGTAGGAAAGAATCTTTGCTTGCCTCTTCTCTAGCTTCTGGTGTTTGCTGGCAGTCTTTGGTGTTCCTTGGCTGTCGGCACATCATTCTAACCTCGCTCCATCTTCACATAGGGTTCTCTTGTGTGTCTCTGTCTCTCTCTTCTTATAAGGACACCAGACATGTTGGATTAAGGGACCTACCCCACTCCAGGATGACCTCATCTCAATTTCATCTGCAAGAACCCTGTTTCCAAATAAGGTCACATTCTGAGGTACTGGGGTTTGGGACTTCAACATGTCTTTTTGGGGGAATATAATTCAACTCTTAACAGGCTTCCTATGTCCAAGCACAAGAAAGGAATCCAGCTAAAGTAGCAAATTGGCTGCCCAGCTCCATCTTCCTAGATTTGCTACAATAATAGTAAAGAAATCAGACTGATAAAGACCCACAAGAACAAAGAATGGGAGAGGAGTCATTATCAAAGGAGGTATTTCCACACATTTTGGAAATAACTGAAGCAATGCTGACAGGAGGTGAGCAAATATACTCTGCTGGGCCCAGGCAGGTTTGAGCCTGGAGGCATCCTGGTGGGGCTGGCGGTGGGGGGGCGGCAGGACTGAAATCAGGTGGAGAGGATATGAGTCTGTGAGAACTGGACCCTTACCCTCCTCTGTATCCCAGCAGCCAGGCACTTACTTATCCTGCAGCTGGACCAGATTGGAGAAACTGACCCAGATTTGCTCCTAACTCAAAAACTGTGTGGCAGAGGGTGGGATTCCACAGTGCTGAAAACAAGGGTGTTAGTCTGGAACTTTCACTCCATCCAGATGTGCCAAGTACATCCACCTCCCAGGTGGGTGATCGGAAGATGATTCTCTGGAGAAGCCGAAGGCCTCAGAGAAAACCCTCCACAGTCTGATTGGGAGGCCCAGTGAGAGGGCTGGGCACCCCCTCCCCTACACCCCATTTTCTCTGAAACAAAATTTGCTAGTTGATGAGATCCACCACTGGAACTTCCACACAGAACCTCCAATTAACTTTTTAGAGCTTTGCCACAAATGTAAACAAGTACATCAGCTGATGTATAAGGAAAGGCAAGCCTCTGCATGAACAAAAGAACTAAAATAAACAATCAGGAAAAAGAACCTGTAAGAGACAAAGACAATGCAAGTTCAGGAGAAAACTTTGGTAACTTCCAAATAGTATTTTCATGGAGTTCAAGAGGGCAGTGAACTCAAAATTTCATTAGAAAATGAAGTCATAGAAGAAGAAGTCAAGAAAATCTCTGACAAAGTAGCAAAAAGGACAAGTTGAAAAGTACAGAGAATAGATACGCGACCTGGGGAATCAATCCAGAACATTCAACATCAAAATGTTTAGAGTTCCAGAAAAAGAAATAGAAGCAGCAGAAGTGAGGAAATCAAAGAAGGTGTACAAGGAACATGTCTGCAGACCACCAGTGCCCAGTACAGTAAATGACAAAAGATACCCCAAGGCACATCATTGTGAAATTTTAGAACACCGGGATTAATGAGGGGATTCTCTAAGCTTCCAGAAAGGAAAAACAGGCACCAGGCAAAGGAATGAGTCTTGGATGGTACTTGACTTTTCAATATTGGTGCTGGATGCTAGGTTTAGCATTCTGGGGGAAAATGATTTTCAATCTATTATTTCGTACCCAGCCGAATGACTAAGAAAGTATGAAAGCAGAACAAAAAGATGCACTTCAGAAGACAGAGGTAGAGGAAAGCATTGGATTTGGGAAAAATAGATCCACTACAGGCAAGCAGCAAAGGGAGCCGAGGGGTGCCTTCTGGAAACAGGGCACCCCACAGGATATCTTACACAATAGAGTACTTGGGAAAAGTTCAGGACATGTAGGTAGAAAATCGTGCAAGTAAAATAACAAAGGAAAAAATAGCTTCAAGAAAAACAAAAAATTGAACAGGAATGGAAAATGTAATCATAGTTTTCCACTTGGCTCTGTGCTCAGTGACATTTATAGAGTCATAATTGAAACACTGATTACTTAACTGAAATAATTGTATAACCATATTGAGGAGACTAGGAAGTCATTAGGAATATTTAAAATTAGCAAATGAAGAAATAGCAGTGTAAGTCTATTAATTGGAAGTATCAACTTTATTAATACCTACTACAAGGGAAAAGAGGTAAAGAAGCAAGACTACTTTTGGGAAGTAGAGTTAAGAGAGTGGAAGGGGAAAAAATGATCTAGTTGCATATTGGAAGCTGTCCTTACTACTTGATTTTTTTTTTATAGAGGTAAAATTCACATAACATAAAATTAACCCTTAATCATTTTCATGTGTGCAATTCAGTGGCATTCAGTGGCAACATTCACAATGTTGTGCAGCCACTACCTCTCTCTAGTTCCAGGACATTTTCATTTCCCCGCCTAGGGAACCACATATCTCTAAAAGTAGTCACTCCCCATTTTCCTCTGTCTCCTTCCCCCATCCTCCAGCTCCTGGCAACCACTAGTCTGCTTTTCTACGGATTTACCTATTCTGGAAGTTTTATACAAATGGAATCAAACAATATGTTACCTTTTGTGTCGGTTTCTTTCACTAAGCTTGATGCTTTTGAGGTTCATTCATGTTGTAGCGTGTCTCAGTATTTCATTACTTTTTAAGACTGAATAATATTTCACTACATGGCTAATACCACCTTTGTTTATCCATTCAATAATAGAAGGACATTTGGGTTACTTGCTCTTTTTGGCTGTTGGGAATACTGATGCTATGAACATTGATGTTCAAGTATTTGTAGGAACACCTGTTTTCAGTTCTTTTGGGTAGTACCTAGGAGTGGAATTCCTTGGTTATATGGTAATTCTGTGTTTAACTTTGAGGAATTACCAAACTGTTTTCTACTGTGGCTGTACCATGTTACATTCCCATCAGCAATGTACAAGGGTTCCAATTCCTCCACATCCTTGCCAACGCCTGTTATTTTCTGGTTTTGGTTTTGTTAAATTATCCTAGTGGATATGAAGTGATAGCTCATTGTGGTTTTGATTTGCATTTCTCTAATAACTAATAATGTTGAGCATCTTTTCATGTGTTTATTGGCCATTGTTTATTTTCTTTAGATAAATATTTGTGTCCTTTACCTATTTTTTAATTGGATTATTTTTCTTTTGTTGCTGAGCTGTAAGAGTTCTTTATGTATTCTGGATACTAGACTCTAATCAAATATATGATTTGCAAATATTTTCTCCAAGTCTGTTGGTTATCTTTTCACTTTTTTGTGGTGTTACTACTTGCTTTTTAAACTATATTTATGTATGATTTTGATGATCTTTATATTAAAATTAAAATTAATAAAAGGATAAAAAGCATAGATATTATTAAAATGAGATAATATGTTTTAAAAAGTGATAGAGTTAATATCTTACTCTATTTAGAGTACTTATACAAACCTGTAAGTAAGACACAGATGCCAATAGATAACTGGATATGAATAGCTGACTCATAAAGGAAGAAAAAACTCATAAACATAAGAAAAACTAATAAGTAAAAAATACAAGTGAGATGTTTATATATTTCTTTTCTAGTGACAAAATTGAATAATGTCAGGATGTACAAATAAGGTGCTCTTCTGATAAAGAAAGTATAAACTGGTGTGACTTTTGTGAAAGCAGTTTGGCACAACATGTCAAGAATCTTAAATATATTGTTACTGCTTGGCCCAGTAATTTAACTTCTAAGAATCTATCCTAAGAAAATAATTTGAGGGGCCGGCCGAGTGGCGCGATGGTTAAGAGCTGGTTTGGGACGCCGGAGGGCCCCGGTTCGGATCCCACATATGAGGGCCAGTGACACTGCCCTCTACAGTTAAGATGTCGAACAACAGCTCAACCTGGAGCTGGGCTCCTGTGAGTCGCCGGCGACAGCGTAGGCTGCAGCCCCTGTGGCAGTGGGTTGCCATGGGCTACCGTGTGTAGCCAGCAGCCAGTGTGAGTGGCCAGCAGCCGCAGTGAGCCGCCGTCTAGAAGCCGGCGACTGATCTGCCTTGCCCGGGAAGAGTGCAATGATGGTACCAACTTGGGCCAGTGAAGCAACGTCCTCCACAAGTAGACTGAAAAACAAAAGGACAGCAACTTGTCTGTTCCCCTTCCCCTAACTCCCCAGCGCTGTTCCCATCCCCTCAATTCCCAAATAAAAAAAATCTTAAAAAAAAGAAAATAATAATTTGAAATAAACAAAGCCCTCTTACATACAAAGATGTTTATCACAGTGTTAGCTTAATAGTGGAAAGTTATAAACAACCTAAGCATTCAACAGAGGGCAGACGAGTAATTTTGATATACCCAGTGCTTGAAAAATGCCTGGCATATAGTAGGCATAAAATAAATAGTTGGTGAATGAATGAATGAATACATCGTAGGATGGAATATAATGTAATCATGTAAAATTATATTTATATCATTTTTAATAATGTGAAATTATTATTTTTTTTAGATTTTTTATTTTTATTGGGGAATTGGGAAAGGGGAACAGCTAAGTTGTTGTCCTTCAGTCTTAGTTGTGGAGGGCGCAGCTAGCTCAGCGCCAAATCCAGCTGCCATCCAGCCACCCATTGGCAGCTCACAGCCACTCAGCTCCAGGTGCCGTGTTCAATCTTAGTTGCAGGTGGGCATAGCCCACCAGCCCATGCGGGAGTCAAACTGTCAATCTTCTTGCTAAGAGCACATGCTCTAACCACTGACCCATCCGTCATCTGGCCACCTATCAGCAGCTCAGGGCAGCTCAGCTCAAGGTGTTGTGTTCAATCTTAGAGGTGGGCGTAGCCCACCATTCCATGTGTGAGTCAAACTGGCAAACTTGTTGTTAGGAGCATGCACTCTCACCTGCTGAGCCATCCTGCCACCTGTTGGCAGCTCAGCTTGGGCACAGCTCTCTGGCCCATGTGGGAATTGAACCAGCGACCCTATTGCTCAGAACTCGCACTCTTAACTAACTGAGCCACTCGGCCAGCCCAATAATGTGAAATTATTAAACTTTGGGGGAAAATGACATTTAAAAGTTTATATGGAATATGGTCTAACCACCTTTTTTATTTTGTTTAAGATTTTCTTTATTGGTAAAATCAGGATAAAAAGAGAGCATAGGAAAAAGAAGGACATAGAAATGTTACCTCTGGGTGGTGGGACATTAAATAATCAAAAATATATGCTGTCCTTAGCTGTAGCACATTGTCCAGCCTGTCTCAGGTAGGGCAGTTTTCCCAGGACTCCATCACCTGGAGGGAAGGATGGTCCAGAAGTGGGGGTGATGCTTCTCCTGGGCTCTCACTTCCCCCACCGGATTACTTAGTAAAGGTTTCTGCTTTTCTTAGGGCTGGGGCATCTGACTCTTCGCTGAGCATGCTGAGAAATGCAATATGTACAATGCAAAACTTATTCGGAAGCACTTAAGCACCCATTTTGCACCAGGAACCAAGGACGCAAAATTCAAGGACCCCCTCACGCCAGGGAGTTCACCTGCAAGATCAAATAAAATCATCAGGGCTCCAGACCATCCTCTGTGTGTGCATAGCAAAGGAAACGCTATCTTCAGGTTTCTCTGTGGTGCTCTCTGTGCACCTGTCACAACTCACTCAGTTGACATCTCTGCTGACAGCCAGGCCCAGGATATCTGAGTGCTTGTTTTGTAGACAGCCCTCACTCTCTATTTGTTCTCATGGTTTGTGGTAACAACTCCTCATGGAAACACTGACTGTACTCCAGGGAAACTGCCCCGAAGTGCCAGGGCACAGCCCAAAATTGTATTTGTATTACACATTCATAATGTATATGTATATGTATATTTATACATACCTGCTATATATATGTATAAATAATTTTCTACAATGAGTCGGTATCACTTTTATGATAAGGCAGAAATAAAAGTGTGCTTTGTGTTTCTCTTTAGGCATTCATTCTGCTTGTTTGTTTTGCTGTCTTGCTGTCTGGGTTGCCTGCAGGCTGCCCAGACGCTCACAGAAGGAGGACAGGGGTCCCGGGCATGGCCGCAGTGTGGAGCTGAGCCCGGGGACCTCGGAGAGGACGGAGGGGGCCTTGAAGAGAGCCCCTGGTCATCTGCTCAGCTGGAAGCACTAGTCCTTTGATTAACTCTCAAACCGGGGGCACCTGGGTGCCATAGGGCCACTCTGCTGCTGGCTCCTGGGGAGGCTCCAGTCATCTGAAGGTTGCTATTAGGAGCCAGAGCTGGGAGGCTTGTGATGAACCACCTCCCACCCGCTGGTGTGGTGCAGCTGTCCCTTGGAGAGGACCAAAGTTTGCCAAGGGAGAGAGGGCAGCAGCTGCTGGAGGTGGGCACAGGGCCAGGCCTGGGACAATCGGGCAGAGGATTTGCATGGTGGGCCTGACAGGTGGAGCTTTGTGTCCCGGGTGCTCTTATCCGGAGGGGCGGCCCAGCAGATTTCTCCTTAACGCAGTTTCCTCTCATGTGGGCTGCACTTGGCCACCTTTCAGTCACTCACTCCTTGAGGGTCTCTGCCAAGAGCCCCTCCGCTCCCACTCCTGCAGACGTAGCATCATGGGCTGCACATTCCCTGGGTCTACTCAGCCTTGACCACTCATTGTGGGGCTGAGGGCCTTCTGATAACATGGTGGGGAACTCTCACTTTCTGACCACAGAAATTTCTGTGAGCACCTCCCCTGCTCAAAGGAAGGCAACCCTGGTGGGTTTACACCCCCCCCCCCCCCCCCCCCAGGATTATGGCACGCACAATGGGGCACCAGCAGTATGGGCAGGCACTGTGTGGAGTCTAGAATGTGGGGAAGAACCCAGCTTTGCTCTCTGCACCTGCAGTTTCAGAGAGGAGAGACTCATCAACAATCAGAGTGAGAAGACTAGCTGAGGTGTGTGTGGGATACTATGGGGGCACCAGGAAGTGAGGACTCATTCTGAGTGGGGAGGATAACTCGTGAGTTACAGAGGAGGTGACTCGTGAATGATGACTTGAAGTTTTATAGCTGAGGACACAAAAGAAAAAATTCAGTGAAGAAATCATGTTGGAAAGGTTCAGAGGCATGAAAGAGAGCTGGGTGCTGGGAACAGCAAGAATTTGGGGACATGGGTTGGGAAGGGAGTAACGCTGAGGAGGAGTGCTGGGCCCAGATTGTGTGTTTATCATCGGAGATTTTAAAGGCATCCCGTGGCGGGAGCAAATTAGGAGCATCAGCAAAATTATCTTAAGTATTTGGTGAAGTGCCAGCTGGACTCCTGGGGGACAGATCTGGGGCCACCGGAGACATTGGGTTACAGCATCAAAGTAGACCAGATAACCTGAAAACCTTAGCAATGTTAGATAAAGAGAACAAATATCCTTTCAGACACATAGAAGCACTTATGGGATAGTAAGAGAAATTCCTACTGCACCTTCCTGACCCACTTCCAGGACTGCTTGGGGTCCCTTTCAATAAATGATATGCCCTTGAATCCTTGTCTCTGGAGTCTGCTTCTGTGGCAATCCAAACTAAGATGGCTTCGTCAGTAAATGATGCTGAAGCAACTGGCTTTCGATAGGGAAAAATAAAATGAAATTAGAATCTTACCTTATACCTTAACTAAAAATAAATTCCAAGTGTGTTAAAGACCTAACTGTGAAAACCAAAACCTTTAGAACTTTTAGAGGAAAATAGGAGAGAAAATCTCTTCATGGTCTTAGAGTAGGGAAAAGAAATTCTTTTTTTTTTTTAAAGATTTTATTGGGGAATTGGGGAAGGTGACCAGCTGAGTTGTTGTTCTTCAGTCTTCGTTGTGGAGGGCGCCATTCGCCATCTGGCTTCCAATTGGCAGCTCATGGCCTCTAAGCTCAAGGTGCTGTGTTCAATCTTAGTTGCGGGTGGGCGTAGCCACCATCCCATGCGGGAGTCATGTCCGGCAGCCTTGTTGTTAAGAGCGCACGCTCTATCCACTGAGCCATCCGGGTGTAAGCTCAGCTCAAGGTGCCAAGTTCAGTCTTAGTTGTGGGTGGGCATAGCCCACCATCAAACAGGCAATCTTGTTGTTACACCAGCTGAGCCATCCTGCCACCTGTTGGCAGCTCAGCAACAGCTCAGCTTAGGCACAGCATCACTGGCCCATGTGGGAATCGAACTGGTGGCCCTGTTGCTCAGAGGTCGTGCTCTTAAGCCAACTCTTAACCAACTGAGCCACTCGGCCGGCCCCAAGAAATTCTTAAATATGACACCACAAGCACAAAAGTAAAGGGTCAGATCAACAAAATTGTCAACGTTGTCAACAAAAGATGCCACTGTAAATAGAAAGACAGCCCATGGGCTGATTCAGATATTTGTGATGCAGGAAACTGACAAAGAATGAGGAATCAGAATATATAAAGAACTAGTATAAGTCTATCCCGCTGGGACACAGGTAACCCCATGGACAAAGACATAAGCAGGCATTTCGTGGAACAGAAAATGTGAATAACCAATAGCTGTGAAAGACCATTTCACACACATTAGATCGGCAAAAACCTAGAAGTCTGAGAACACAAATACTGGGAAGTGCTGGGCGCTCCTTTCCTGGTGCTCAGAGTGTAATTATCACTATTGTGGAGATCAGTGTGGAAATACTTTACAATGTGCATACCCTGAACCCAGCAATTTCACTTTTAGGCACATGTGCATAAGGACATGTAAACTAGATTATTCACGAAAACACTGAATAACCTGTTTGGAATTGTAAAAAGTTGGAAACAACCTAAGTGTCTACCTACAGGAAGATGGCCAAGTAAATTGGTACAGTGGGATGCCCATTAGTGGTTTACATTCTGTCAACACGGATAGCTCCTGAGAACTAGAAATCTTGGACACAGTAAAAAAGCAAGTGGGAGTTCAGCTTCTGGTTAGGACATAAGGGAAAAAGAGCAAGTAGCAGAAATGGTAGCAGAAATTTGAAAACATGAAAAACAACTCTGCCTATGGGTTTGGATACGCACATATGAGTAAATGTTATAAAAACATGCAGGAGAATGATAAAGACCAAATTCAGGACAGTGGTAACATCTGTGGAGTGAGGGGACAGAATGAGGCGGAGAAGGGTGTGCAAGGAGTTTCAACTCTGCCGAGGTTAAGATTGGGTAATGCTGGGTAGTGAGGACATTGGTGTCATTTTAGTTTTCTTTACTTTCCTGGATGATTGAAATTAAAGGAAAAAAGAAAGAAAAATAGGCTTGGAGCAAAAAGGAGAGGTGATAGTGGGAATAAGGATTTGGAGGGTGACCAGTAGACAGGACCAAGAGCAGGCCTCTGGGGAACACCCACATTTGAGGGCTGTGTAGGTGCAGAGGCGCTCATGAGGGGGCTGAAAGAATTGAGGAGAGTTGAGACAGACGAGGTGTGGAAGAACAGAGCTTCGGGGAGGAGTGCTGAATCCTGAGATCTTTGAGCGTGGCAGTGAGTTATGGCAACCATGCAAGCAAATTGAGCGGGTGAAGAAGGCTGCAAGCAGACACAAGGGTTCAGAGCAGATGGTAGTGGAAACTTCTAGGAGAAAGCATGCTTAAAGGAAAGGAGAGCAGCAGCCTGGGAGGGGCAGGGTTATGGGAAGCTGGAGTTTGCAACTCCAGTAGCCTAGGCCTGAAAGCACAGCGCCGGCCAGCTGGGGTCTGTGCCCTCCATGCCCAATTCAGAGCTCCCATCTGTGTGTGCATCCCAGTCTGCCCAGAGGTGAGTCCTGGCTCGAGGGACTAGGGCACCTGTGGCCATTCTGTCCTGTCCACACTGAGAGTCAGCTCTGTCTGTCCCCTGTTAGGAGGGCACAGCCAGTATTGGGAAGCCAGCTTTGGGCCTGTTGTCCGGCTCCAGCCTGGTGGCCCCTGGAAACGTGGCCTGTGGTCCTCCACCTTTAGCTCTGCCCTGCACTCATGTACCCTTAAATCTCTTCGGAACCCTTGCAGCAGTAATGTCATCATGGTCACTGGAAGGAGTAGCGTTACAGCACGTAGCTGTGAGACTCCCAGTGAGTCACTTAACCACTCTGTGCCTCTGTTTACTCAAGTGGAATATGGGGATAATACTTATTTGCAAAGTTGTTACGAAGGCTAAGCAGTAATAATAATGGCTCCCGGTGTTAGATGCTGTGCTATACTTAGCCTCATTTAATCACCAACCCATGAGCTGGTTAAAGGTGATCTCTAACCCTAACTGAGACTCAGAGAAGTACAAAGTTTGTTCAAGTTCACATAACTGGTTGGCTGCAGAACTGGGATTTGACCCAGCTACACTGCCCCCATTACTGAGTAATAGACGTGAAAGCGTTTTATAAACTGTCACGTGCTGTGAAAACGTTCATTTGCTTCCAGTTCCTCCTTGATTAACTTCAGAGACCACAACAGACAAATGGGGAGCAGGTGCTCTTTTTTCCACATCACCAGGTGGTAAGGATGGGGCGGGGAAGGGGGGTGTGCTCAGATACCCATGACCCCTGGACCACCACAAGCTGCACTTCCAGAGGCTCAGAGCCCTAAGATGTCACTCTTTCCCATGCCGGAAAAGTAGAGGCTTCCAGTGGTCTCATTTCTTCCTCCAAGCTGGTTTTCCTCTTTCCCCTCCAGCTTTCTGAGGTGCATCCACATACATGCACATGTACATGCGCACACACAAGCATGCACATTCTGCTTGTCTTATGCATCTTTCCCACAAGCCTGAGTAGAAAGCCTTTGCTTCCAGGCAGGCCGCTCCTCCTCCAGCTTATTCACTGCTACCAAAACCATCTTCCTCACTCTTGCCCAGATCAGTCCCTGCCCAGGAACCTCACAGAAACAGCCTTTTTGGGCCAAAGGGACCTTTACAGCTCATTTGGTCAAAAAACCCCATTTGGTGCATGCGTGGATCTTCTGCAGTGCCCTGATCCAAGGGCTTCTGCCCCTCCCAGGTCCTCCATAAATCTCAGGTCAATG